TACCACTTTTTTGGTTCTTGGACTACCTATTTAGGCTCGTATTTAGATAATCCAAGAACCAAAAAGTGGTACGGTACCAAAAATTGAGCGTAGTGTAAACGGGGCTTAGCTAAACAGGTAGTCCAAGAACCAAAAAAGTAGTACGGGTACCAATTTTATCCGTGCCGTACCAAAAATTGAGCGTAGTGTAAACGGGGCTTAAATATAGCTATTGTAATTGCGTGCGGATATAGCTATTGTAATTGGCCACTGTCCCAGTAGCTATATCCGTAGAATAGTTAAAATGCATGAATCCTTGTCGCGCATCCAATATTTTTAAGATTTGAAAATCTTTTCTCAGTATAAATATTCTGGCAATCCGGCTCCGTCAAAAGCTCTTTGTACTTCTAAGGATACTCTATCCGGTCCAATGGTAAAACCCACTTGTTGGCAAACAATAATGAAAGAGCAGCCAATTTTGTCTTCAATTAATAGAGAACTTGCATGTTCGACTGATCAGTTGTCTAGGAAAAAAAAAGAAATTTCCCGTAAAGAAGTTATTAAAATTAGTAAAATTGCAAAATTTGGCTACGAAATGTTGTAAAATACGGAAAATATAGCCTTGCGAAGTTTGCATATTTTGTATATGTTTGTATTACGTGCGGAAATTGTTACCATTTTTGACGGCCGAAAATGGCAACAATTTCCGCACGTAATACAATCATATACAAAATTTGCAAACTTTGCAAGGCTATATTTTCCAAGCTTTACAACATTTCGCAACCAAATTTTGCAATTTTACTAATTTCATTATGTTCTTTTTAGCTGTGGCGTTTGATCTCCTTCTCTTTACTTAGATTAAAATTTAGTCTAACATGTAAGTTGTCCATTATCTGTGTTTTAGTGGCTCCTTAAACAAGACAATGTCCGTGAATCTGTTCGAATCTGACGAAGGAGAATCACGAAATATCACAGAACAAATGATCGAATCTGGCTATGCCGACGAAGCTAAGTTTAAAATACTTAAACACGTTGATCCGAAATCTCTTTACGCAGGCAAAAGCGTGATAGTACATCCAGGTTAACCGGTTGAGTTACTGAGATCAGAGTTACAGTTTATTGTTGTGTTGTTGTAGTGATGGTAGTACCATAGAAATACTAGAATAGATATCTAGCATTTCTATGGATGGTACCCCCAACAGACCCACGCTTTGGAACGGGCCCAAAATTTTCCCGAATTTTTGGCCCATGTTTGACAATGCTCACTAGGATATATCGAAGGTTTCAGATATAAAGAGAAAGATATAAAGCAGGTTTTATCCTCAACAGACAAATTTGGCTAAGGTTGTTTACGCCGTTGCTACCCAATTTAGAATTCTTGATAACTCACATGCCTATAATTACGACTGTTCTAGTTTATAGAAGCATACAGGGTGTCCCAGAAACCCCCCAAAACTATATTGAAATAACGCATTGTTAGAATTTGAATGCCTCGGCACTCTGCTGAACTCACAAGTGCATAAAAGCTTGACATAAGTAAATTTTATGCATAAAGAAACTGTTTAAGAAGCTGCTTTAAATTCCCAAGAGCAGAAAATCGTGCGCTTTACACAAGATATTTTAATTTCTTAATAAGTCAATATTTATAATATATGCACCCTGTCAATATTTTACGCATCTTTGCGTTTAGATTTGTGCTGGGGCATTCAAATTCTAACAATACGTTATTTCAGGAGTTTTGGTTTTTTGGGACACCCTGTAGTTTATAGCTTTAGAATTATGTGAAAGAATCGTTCACTCATGTTGATAATTTTAAAGCGTATACCTTACTTGTATTAAAATGATTCGCGCAGTACTAGAATTCGCGCAGCGCTGGGTGCGCGAATTTTAGTACTGCGCGAAATATAATCCGCGCGAAAAGCTTTGTGGTGTAATATGAGACACTCATTGTTGGTAATGCAAATTCCGTTTTAACTGATTTGCTTTACTACTTGCATTACTACTTGCAATACTCATTATAAATGCGTTAATTGTTAATAGTTCTATTAAACAAGCCAAAAAGAACGAACACGGTTGAACCACTTTTCATCGAACTGACGGGATTTAATTTCTAAGTCGTTTCAACTTTCAATTAGAATTTTCACGATTACAATGCTTTCTAAACTCCCACAGGTAATGAGGTTTGGGTGTTTACAACAAAAGGGTGATTTCTAAAGGTTGACTTGTTTGAGAATTGGCAAAACGTTTACTGATAAAAAAAGATGAAAGAATATTTACCATCCGCGCAAATTTACATACTGCGCGGCAGGCTAACATGCCCGTGCGTGATATCAGATCAAATGCGCTTTTCATCAAGTATTAATTTTTTTATACCACTTTATTAACTGTGTTTATCCTGATCCACCATGTCGACTTTCCTTGTGGACTAGACGACTTTCGAAACCCACGCGTTGACTGACTCTTTTCACACGCGTGGGCAGCAAGGCAATGGAACACACCAAAGTGAAAGGCGCTTGTTCAGCGCTACCGAAGTCCCAAATTATTACACATCGCACAAGTCATATTTGGGGTTATATTGGAACTTAAAGAAATGGTAGTTATATATTTTTGGGTTTAATATATTTTTGGGTTTAATATATGTGTTTTCAGTTTTCCCGAGTTTTACAGTCAATTTCAGATATAACTTTGACGTGACAAATGTTCCGAACGCAGTTCGCTGCGAAGTTCAAGAGTTCATACTGTAATGAGATTTGGATTCGCAAACCAGTTTGTAAACTACGCATTTGATTGGCTTCTTTCACTTCTGGGACCAATCAGGGACTTTGTTTACAAAGTGGCTTGTGAATTCCCAGTATGAACTTCCGAACTTCGCAACGAAATTCGGAACATTTGTGGTCAAAGTTTTGTGAAATCGACTGTAAAACGCATACTGTAGTATTGAACGCAAAACGAGTAAGTGTATAGAAAATCTTTGGTGGTTTATATTTTTGAGAAAGAAGATGTTTTAAAGTTTAAAATAAGATATATTATGTCTTCACAGCGTTATTGACTGTTGATAATTGATTTATGTAGTGACGACTACGAACGATATGTGTAAAATAAGGCACATGAACGCTTTTCAATATAAAGAGAATATTACGTCTGAAGTGCAGTTTTGTTTATATTGCTGGAAATATAACGTAGTTCTATTACTGAACCGAAACTTTGCGGCCAAACTAATTAGTAAAATGGCAATTAAATAATTTGCGTACTATCAGTTTTTCCGTGTAAAGCAAAATAAAGAAAGGTACACTTTTAATAAGGGAATAATTTTCCAATTTAAAGCGAATCAACCGTGCGTAAACTATTATTGTACTTTTTGCATATTTAAATAAGATGAATAATTGAATACTTTGATACGCATGTTATACAGGGTGTACAAAAAAAAACGCAACCTCGGAATTTCCCAAGAAATCAACATGCCAAGGACAAAAGATTTTAGGTGCCTGGGAATTTAAAATAGGACAACTGTCGAAACTACTGCACACGCGAGTGCATAAAGCAAAATTTATGCATTTATTTAATGGCACTTAATTAATAATTTCATATTTTGCAGGTATAATTTTCCTGAAGCAAAATCTGTCTGGGGGTAATATATCATATTACTGTTGTTGTACTGTAGCAATTCGATCTCGATTCCCAGGGGCCTAAAATCTTTTATGCTCAAGAATTGCAAAGTGGATTTCTTAGGAAATTCAGAGGTTGCGTGTTTTTTTATACACCCTGTAGTTCAATGCAATTTATCTTTGCGCAAAACGCACATTTGCGCTGTGCACGCTAAATAAATTTGCAAAATATTTGCATAATTGGCGTGAGCAAGGAAAACCCGCCCTGATTGGTTGAGCTGCGGCTTGGAATTCCGAAATGTCACAATTTCCTGTTCGAATTATAAAGCACAACATCAATATGGCGAAAAATTGTTGAACATTTTACATTTTACTATGCCATTGCCGGCGAATTTTACGATTATTCAAGGGTAATGCAAGAGGACACGCGTATCAGTTTATTGGTAAGATATTGTTTTTAATGAAAGCACATTAAATCACACGAAATTAATTATTGATTTGTAGATATTGTACAATATTATTCACCTTGTGTCCCTAGTCTGTGTGTTTATATTTTAGCTGTCTGGTGTAAAATTCGCAGCAAGCGCAGAAATAAGGTTAGTGTATTCTTAGTAACAATTAATTTGTTAACAATGGTTTATCGGATTGTGTTTGGACTTGTTTATTAGTAAATCGTTTTAAAAATACAAGATTATACATGTGTAGACTATATACACATATGCTGTATGCACGATCTCATGACATTGGTTAATTGATTTCATATATTAAAACCCGCATTGAATGCACTAAAAGAAGGTCTTAAGATACAATTTTTTTTACAGTATAAATTTATGAGGATCTGTACCAATTTCCCGTGTTTAAGGTCGATTCACTTTCGTATTAAAAGCAAACTATATTTGTTCTCCATAGTGTACATTCTGATGGCGAGTTGTTTACTTAAAAAATTGTACATCAGTGCATTAATATCAGCTCAAATCCACTTGGAAAATATTTAACATTCTTTTTGAGACTACAATGTGTTTTGCCGTTTGCCCTTATTAAATCTTGCTGCGTTTAATGGCTAAATTATTGCATTTTTTAATGTCTGGGAATCGTCAACACGGAAGTCTTGAAGGGCTAGACATACTACAAATCTTGTTGTTTCTAGGTTTTTAAGAGGAAAAATGCTCAAATTATAAAAGTAATTGCTTAATATCTAATATCCTGTACAAAAACAGGTAGTTCTGAGCGGGTAGCATCCCGAAAATGCTTGGCTAATAGCCAATATATACTGTAAATTTTCGATTTTCAAAAGCACTACCGCACATATATATTAAAAATTGTACATTCTACTATTGTATTGTTTATTTATTTTCATGACAAATGCATAGTTTTCCCGTTCTAAAGATGATATATAAGCAATATTTTTTCATATTATTTGAATATCTCGTTTGATATAATTAGTGTTGCAACTATTTTTCTTGCTAAAGGTTTATGTTCAATATATTAAACAACTTTCACTCTCTTAATGTAACTTTCTTTTTTAAACTTATTTTGACTTCCTGTTGTTGTAACTTATTTCAGCTTCCCTTCACAGCATGACTGCTTGCATGACTCATGTTTTCGTCTGCAGTGTTATTAACCATTAAGTATGCATTGTGCCCCGATGTCCCTATTCTATTATTTACTCTGTGTAATGCCAGACGAAATCTTTAAAACCCTGTACAGTACAGATGAGAGAGTTTTACTTGTTCATGTAATAGGAGCCTTGTTCAAAAGCCAGACAGTCATGTCAGCATTTGTCAAGGAATTTGTGAGCTAGGAAAACCTGTCTGAACATATGGGGCTTACAGTAACACTTATTGGCTGGGACTCATGGACACAGCATGTTTTGTGGACTTGAGATTGCGAATGTTTATACTTTGCCTTGGAAAACATTTGGTAGTCGAGCGTCTACAAAACAATACGGTTTTCCAAAAACCACAGTCAATAAGTATTTTTTATGTATCAAGGGTCAATTAGAAAACAAAAAAAACCCCGAACTATTATATTATTCACCGGTGGATAAAAATGTTGGCCTTTTGTGCGTAGCGAACTTTGACACATACTAGCTTGGTATATAATAATACAGTGTGTCTGTTCTATCATATTGTAATCATGAAGCTAGGTCTTCAATTAATACGACTATGTAGAGCAAGTGACATGGGTCACATAAAGCCTTATAAGCATTAAACCAGAGAATACTATTCTGGAAGCATTTTCTGAAAGTGACCAAACTTGCAAACATAATGTGTCCTATAGTAGATGGACAGGCCAGGAAATATTGTTTCTTAGCCATCTTTCCCAAATGTAGAAACCAAGGAATATATAGTGCATGCTTTCCTATAGCCATGTTTCTCAAAGGGTGGGAAAACTAGGAAACATTGTTTTCACGCTAGTCATATTTGCTGCCGCTCAATGGGTTATGAAACTCATAGACCAGTCTAGACATTCCAAAGTCCTTTCCAGACCCTTCTATGGCACCAGTCCCTAATTAATGTTCTCTCAAATTTAGGTGAACTTGGCTTATTACACTTGTTTATGAAAAAATGCAGAAAGCCAACAGTACTGGAAAACTGGCGACGGGTGAAAATGTGAATAAAATTAAAAGCATTTACGAAAGTCTGAGCTCAAGTGATTTGAAACCAGTTAAACCTGAAAATCTCGATGTTAAACCTGCCCTGAAACCTGTCAAACCTGACAAACTAATTGGTATGAAAGAAGTGAAACCGGAACAAGCCAGTAATCGGCCTCCCAAGACGCCTCCAAAACCTGTTCCGCCACCAAAACCAACCTTTAAAAAGGACGGTCAAAAGAGTCGCAGTAACAGCCACGAGTCGAGTCTGCCCGACATTGCCCCAAAACCAAAACGTGGAGTGTCGAGTGCGTCAAGCAACAAGAGTGAAGAGAGTCAAGCAGAGAATGGTGAACCAGAGAATGATGAACCAGAGAATGATGAACCAGTGAATGGTCATCAACAGAATGGTTATCACAATGGTATGTGCATCAGACCTACCAAGTCTCCCGTTGAGCTCATGTTTATTGTCAGCTCGCACCACACACAGAAAAATCACAAATATTGTAATCTCCCTCATTTCATATGCACCACACCTTGGGCATTGACTGTAATATCGTCAGATTATATACCATTAAATGTCAGACTGTCAGCAATCTTGTATCCAGAGTATATGCCTGTTCGCGGGTTAGGTGCTGGGCATGACCTAACCTGCGAACAGGCATATTCTGGGTACAAGATTGGACTGTCAGTAACTCCAGACGAAGGGCCTTTTGCTCGAAACATCGAAATTCTCCTTGTATATTTTTCAGGTAGTTGCATATCCCTACCAACAATTTAAGCTTGTTCATGCCATTAAATAACCCAATTGTTTAACCCATTAAGCTGTACAGCACCCGGCCTGATGTCTAATGCGAGACAATTTTACTTGTCAAGGGAGAGTGCTGATGCTCAAATTGTTTTAATCAGGCTATCTGCCCATGTGTCTAGTTAACCCATTAAGCTTGCATATAGCATTCTGATGTGCCCTACTTTATTATTTAGATTGGTTTTACATGTTAAAGGGGAGTGCTGCCACTCAATGGGGTAACCAAAAAATCTGACAATGTGCCTAGTTAACACATCAACCCATTGCTGCAATGCACCTGAACACACTATACTCAAGATCATTACTATAGGGGTGCGTGGGGGGTGACACCCTCCCCTCCAAAAAAAAGTCTTGTCAGCAAAATAATGGATTTGTCGGCAAATTGTTTTCAGTAGTCAGCGGAAGTATTTGAGTGGCTCTGATTAAAAAGCTATATAGTTATAAAAAAATTTGATAAATTTTAGGAAATTATGAAAAATGGAAAATTATTGAAATCAATCAGGTGGTTGGTCAGATGGTTTGTCAATATCTGTCAGTATTGCAGTCAGCCAATCAGTCTGTGGTTTTTTTACTGTGTTCCAGGTAATGAATATCAAGAAGTTGGGGTTAATGAGGAGAAACCAGCAGTAGATATGGATGCAGATAGGATAGAAGATGATGAAGAGGAGGATGTGGAAGGATGTGATTCGGATGAATTTGACGAAAGTGAAAATGACAGCGATGAACGGGAGGAAACTCTCCCAAACAAACGACAAAGCAGAATTATTTTTGGTGAATTACTTGATATTCCTGACCTGGTAAGCTGCTTGCCTGCTTTGGGTGTTATCCCATTCTATTTCATGTCAGTCTGTTGCATTTCATTATGTTTGCTATTCTATTACATTCAATTTTATTCCATTCTATTCATTGGATTATTCCAGCATAGACGAAATTTTGATCTAGACAAGAAGAACAAATCCATTACCATAGCTGGAAAGAGCATCTTAAAATGAGTAAAATTGCAAAGTTTGGTTGCGAATTGTTGTAAAATGAGGAAAATATAGCCCTGTGAAGTTCGCAAATTTTGTATATATTTGTATTACGCGCGGGAAAAATAACCATTTTTGAGCCGAAAGTGGTTATTTTTACCGCGCGTAATACATAGAGAATAATACATGGGTGCGCGGAAATACCAGATTTATTTGGAGTGTTGAACATGATATCTCACGAGTGAGCGCAGCGAACAAGTGAGATATTATATTCGACACAAGAAATAAATCTGGTATTTCCAAGCACCCATGTATTTTTCTGTTTATTATATAAACAAAATTTAGTGAAAAACAATAAAACGTCCGTGGCAATGCGTTTTACAACAAATGATATTTTCACACGTAAAAATATCATATTTTTTACGTGTGTTTAAATACGATTTTTCTCAGTGGCCAAAAACTCTATATAACACTTATTTTTATATAATAAAAATATATACAAAATTTGCGAACTTCACAGGGCCATATTTTCTTCATTTTACTACATTTAGCAAGCAATCTTTGCAGTTTTACTCATTCTAAGACGCTCTTTCTAGCTGTGGTGTTGGATTTCGTTCTTCTTGCCTTGATCAAAATTTAGTGTAGAGCTGGAATCACACATTCAATTATATTCTTTTCCTTTCCTTTCTCTTCTATTCCATTGTATTCCTTTCCATTCAATTATATTCTTTTCCTTTCCTTTCTCTTCTATTCCATTGTATTCCTTTCCATTCAATTATATTCTTTTCCTTTCCTTTCTCTTCTATTCCATTGTATTCCTTTCCATTCAATTATATTCTTTTCCTTTCCTTTCTCTTCTATTCCATTGTATTCCTTTCCATTCAATTATATTCTTTTCCTTTCCTTTCTCTTCTATTCCATTAATTGTATTCCTTTCCATTCAATTATATTCTTTTCTTTTCCTTTCTCTTCTATTCCATTGTATTCCTTTCCATTCAATTATATTCCTTTCCTTTCTCTTCTATTCCATTGTATTCCTTTCCATTCAATTATATTCTTTTCCTTTCCTTTCTCTTCTATTCCATTAATTGTATTCCTTTCCATTCAATTATATTCTTTTCCTTTCCTTTCTCTTCTATTCCATTGTATTCCTTTCCATTCAATTCTATTCTTTTCCTTTCCTTTCTCTTCTATTCCATTGTATTCCTTTCCATTCAATTATATTCTTTTCCTTTCCTTTCTCTTCTATTCCATTGTATTCCTTTCCATTCAATTCTATTCTTTTCCTTTCCTTTCTCTTCTATTCCATTGTATTCCTTTCCATTCAATTATATTCTTTTCTTTTCCTTTCTCTTCTATTCCATTGTATTCCTTTCCATTCAATTCTATTCTTTTCCTTTCTCTTCTATTCCATTGTATTCCTTTCCATTCAATTCTATTCTTTTCCTTTCTCTTCTATTCCATTGTATTCCATTGTATTCTATTATATGAAAAAATATTCCCTTTTATTTCTTCAGGACTTTCTTGATCCGCGTAGGAAAAAATTGTTCAATATTGCCAAAGAAATTTTGACCACAGAAGTAACGTAAGTTGCGTTTAATGTGTGATGTTCAAGGCATTTAACCGGTTGAAAGTAGGTTGTTGTGTGTGTATAAACATATATTGTTGAATGTTGTTGTTATTGTTATTGTTATTAATTATGATGGTAGATGATGATCAATAAATGTTGTTACCGTTCTTAATTGTTGTAGCCTGAGTGTCAGACGAATAACGAGGCTATTCTTGTTGATGAATGAAAAATTATAAATTATTGGAAAATTTTCCTTCCAGTTCGATGCAAGCTCTCTGGAGTCCCAAATGTTGAATTGTTAACAGGCGCCTATTGAATAGTTAATGATGCATTATTAAAATGTCTGCTTTTCAAATTAAGAATGTATTTTTGGCCTTTATGGTACAAACTTATCACACGTATTAAAACAGCGTCAAACCCGAGGCTGCGGTGTTTTATAAATGTTGCGTTTGAAAAATCTTTTTTTATTTCTTTAGGTATGTCAAAACACTCAAACTTCTGGACGAGGTATGTGGATGGACTTTGAAAACGAAAAAGTAGCTTAGTACCTCTGGCTCTGATAATTTAGCTTATCCACGTATCAATGTAAATTCGTGTACGAACAAAGGAATGGGAATTTGTCTTGGCTGCGTCCCGTCCCTCGGAAATTTGAACATCCATATTATTGACATCGTGACATTTGATTGAAATTAAAACTGCTTTCGTTAAAGACAATGACTTTACACAAACTGTGTTGAATCATTGTCTTTCAAAACATGGTTTGGAAACTCCGCTAAAGTCTTTGTTCTATCTTTTTGTTCGCGTTTATGCAGTCAGTTTGTGCACGGTGCACGGTCAATGAACACATTGTATTTCAGTATAATGAACGAATCATCCAATAGCAACGTTTCTTTTCAGTCATTCAACTATGCTATTTAAATATTAATAAACCTACAACAAAGGATGTGCACGGTGTAAGGAACGGCTCAACATAAACTCCCAGCTCATTATAACCGCTTTGAAGTTTACTGAGTTTCCAGACCATGTCTCGAAAGACTATGGTTGAATGCTGGCAATGTTGATAAATTATTAATACTAAATCGTGTGTTTGCCATGAACAATTTAAACTTTTTAAGCTTAAGCTTGGTCACTAACATTGAGACGTCTTGAAAAGTAAATGCCCTTAGGCCAAAAAAAAATATGTGGGTTTCCAATTTCTTCGTATAAAAACTTAGGTAGGGTAGGTCGGTTTTAACTTCTTTTTTTTTAACTTTTTTAATTTTCCGAACAAGCGGACGCCATTTTGTTTAGTCAGTGCTTCCACTTCCAAAGATAAATTTTCCTAATATTGCCTCAAATTTCAATTTTCCACAAACTTTTTCCTCTAAGTGGAAACACTTACAAGCATGATCCAATAAAAAAGTTTAGGGTCGGGATTTCGACGTCCAAAAGCTAGGTAGGGTCGGGAAACCGGAAACCCACATATTTTTTTTTTTGCCTTACAACATTTATCGAAGTCATGCTCAGAACTGTACAAATGTGTGTTTGTTTAGGTATTTCACTTCAGACTCGAGAATGAATGTCGTGCAAAAGGTGTCGTACCCAAAGAAGCTTTGTTAGAAATATTTTCAAATATCACAACCATCAACCAATTTCATCGAGATTTCCTCTTGCCAAAACTCGAGGAACGAATGAAGAACTGGTTAGTCTATGCTGCGATAGAGGATAGAGCGGTCATTCCGTGTCGTGTTTGATTGTAGTAAAAAAAACACGTTCTTTTACTTGTCTAGGGACACGATGCCCAAAGTCGGCGATATTTTCAACTATCTAGCGCCTTTTCTCAAGGTACGTTTAATAGAATGGAATGCAATGTAATGGAATATAATGGAATGGAATAAAATGAAATGGGATAGAATGAAATGGGATAGAATAGAATAGCACAGAATAGAATAGAATAGAATAGAATAGAATAGAATAGAATAGAATGAATAGAATAGCACAGAATAGAATAGCACAGCACAGAATATAATAGAATAGAATAGCACAGAATAGAATAGAATAGCACAGAATAGCACAAAATAGAATAGAATAGCACAAAATAGAATAGAATAGAATAGCACAGAATAGAATAGCACAGAATAGAATAGCACATAATAGAATAGCACAGAATAGAATAGAATAGCACAGAATAGAATAGAATAGAATAGCACAGAATAGAATAGAATAGAATAATGGACAATAGAACAGAATACTACAGCTATCAATTTTTATTCAACAATATCCAGATGTATGCTGAATACGTGAAAAATTTTGATCAAGCAATGACCAGTTTATCGAAGTGGAAACTAAAAAGTCCAAAATTTGCTGCAGTAATAGAAGATATTCAGGTACTACAAAATAGAACATTGACCAGATTTATATCAATAGGAAAAAAGATTGTAAATGGACCATTTGCATTATAGACTAAATTTTGATCTAGACAAAAATTTCATCACAGCTTGAAAGAGCATCACAAAATTAGTAATATTCCAAAGTTGCGTTGCGAAATGTTGTAAAATTCGGATAATATAG